ACTTTTCCGCCTTACAAGCCTCCAATCGTCACACTATGAAAATGCGATTCTACCTTTAACATCTTTCCGTCGCTGAAGCGGAGAGCCCCTGGTAACAGCGTAGACATGGCGTTTGATCGTGATAAACGAGAATATTAATCATGCATAACAATGAGCCATGACCTACAAGTACAACGCACTTCGTGACATGACGCATGCGCAGTATACACCCAGTTGCGGTCCGTGAATAGGGCTTTCCCCTCGATCAGCTGTTTGAGTTAGTCATTGTAGTCTGGTTTGCCAGACCCATTATTATAAGCTTCTTTGTGTGGGTGTCGTGAATCCAGCAGTGAGTTTCCGACCGAGTGTAATTCAACATTGATGACGGATTTTACCTATTTATCTTTAGGTTGATAAAACATAATGTTGGCTTCAATGCAAAAAGGTTAAAAGTGATTCCTAACCTTGTATGGTTTGATTATACTGGCAACATTCTCAGTTTATTGTTTAATTTGTCATGATGTTAGGGAAACCCCTATTCTTACCTGGCTACAAGAGTGTATGACAATGGGCCTATGTACTTCAACATTTACTTGTCATTTCTGATCTAATTTTAGTATCCCTTTGATCAAGCCCTTTGCATAATCTGAGTGTTATAATAACCACAATGTATAAAAATCGCCCTTACCAGAAAGAGGTATTAATATGTAGGCGACTAGACGTGGGACTTACTCATTTCCCCCTCCAAGACCTTGTCAACCAAATTAGTTTTTTGCCTAGGCAGATTCTGTAACTTAGGTGGTTTCTGTAGTGTGATGCTTTGTTCTTAAAATACATTCGCAATATCCTCCCATTGCTTCCCATTTAAGAGAGAATAGAGTGTATGAAGTAGCTAAGATATTGGAGGGGGGGGGGTGGTCAAACAGTATTTTCCCCTCTAGACTATACACAGAGACTATTCATTTATGAGATAAATTAACACAAATATATAGTGGGTTCGAGGAGTTGGCTTTTGGACGTTGTGTGATATGATCATAGCTGATTCATGTCGTGTTTTTCTTCCCAGTTTTGTATATATGAATTGATGATGTATAAAACTCGCAGCAATTATTATGCTGCAACATGTTGCTACAGCATACGGACATATGTTCGCTCTTAAGCGAACAAAGAACCTCGCGGTACATAGTGATTGTTGTTACGTAATGAGGTTGTTAGCACCCCCTGCAATAAAAGTGATTAGATGACTAATAGAAATTGATCTTCGTCCTGGTCCTGCATGCCTTAATAACGGAACCCTTTTGATGTGTGGGTAACTGTGTTATTACCGTTAGATAATTACGAGTTTATAATGATGATGAATGCGGGATTTAAAGGCTAGGGTGCAGAGCTTTACCCCCCCCCCCCCCTTCCCTCCCAAGGGCGATTGGTGTAGGGCTGATATATAACATATACGAACAGTAGTAAATAATGATATTCCTGGGCAGTCCCACTGAGTCATAACTTCAGCTGGACAAAAACTGTTTAGACAAAGACAATACATTCCACATCTTGATAGTGTAAAGTAACTTTGTCGATCCTCTGGTCAAATGTTCTTGTCAGCTCAATTTGATTTTTTTTTCTTCAACAGCCGGCGATTTAACACTACATTTACGCGACAAAATAATACCCTCATTGTAATCTTTAACTCTATACCATCAACCAGAATTTCGCTTGCTTTGTATGGGCCTATAAACCATAATTATTTGGAGACACGCGTTTTACTTGCACGAACAAAGAAAGTTGGATGCAATCGTCCTGCAAAAGGGCAGTTACAAAAACGGCAGACAAGGGGGGGGGGGGAATTATGAGCCTAAATAATACATATCGAAGTTTGTTGTCGGGGTTAGAATGTTCATTCTTTATAACCCTTGTAATAATGTTGATAGGTACAGAACAAATTGTTTTTCTTAGCTTGTACACTGTAATTGATGCACGAATTGTGCCCTAAATTTCACAAGATATGCCCTGGTTTGTAAAACACGGTGCTTCAATAACCAAGTCAAATGCAGAGGAAATTGAATCAAGAACGTCATCGTCACCGAGAGCGCTCAGTAAATCACCACCCCGTTTTCATGAACATGACTATACGAGATAACGGCATTGTGACGTATTATGACGTAGTCACGAGGCACATTTTGTTGTGAACTGTGCCTGGATTAAGAAAGGCGGGAACGAGGAAGGATCATGTGCTCGGATAAAATGAAGAAGTGATCGACAGGACGCTCATTATTATGGTGTTACTGCGATGAGCCCATAACCATAGATTCGCCACTAGCTCCTCTTATCAGAATCTACCTTAAGTTTCTGAATCTTAGTTTCTCAAGAGCTAGCAAAGCATGGGAGCAACATTATGGATACATTATCTTTATAATGGAACATTTATTTCGTCCTAAATTCAACTTGATTTCGTTCTTAAAATTACACTGATACCATAATTTTTAAAATGCAAATAAGCCTTCCCTCGTTGCCCGAGTATGAGGTTCTCCCGAAATAGACCCCCTTTTTCGAGAGGGGGTGGGGGCTGCAGCCCCATCCCCTTGTGCCCTTATGGATCAAGTTCACTGAGAACAAAATCGCAACTGGGTTTGACAATCAACTCAATGGGAAAGTCAAGTTCGGATTGCGTAATATGTCGTTGTCATATTTGCATATTTCAATAGGTGATGCACGTAAAGGGCAATCGTTATTGCGTCAGGGTGTTTTATGCTTGAAATGTAGTCGCTATCGTGCTATAATAACATATGATGTAATCTTGAAGAGGATATTTTTCTGAAAGCCACATACAAAAGATACATTTCTCATTACGAAATCGTTTGGCATGACAATCATTTGGAAATAATGTTGTAAAGTTCTGAAAGCGATTTGTAAGGACTTAGCATTACGAACAATACGAATAATGAAACCGAAACGCACGGATCGTGGTGAAACTATACAATCGTCATGCATAACATATGTTCTGAACTAAAAGTCTATATAAAATGCAGCACTTGTAATAGACCATGGGCCAGCCTCAGCTCCGTGGTCTTTCCCTGGAAAATACTTTATTTTGTCCTAAATGATCAATAGACATATATTTAAGAACAATGGTAAAATGTTCCCATCTCCACATTTGTTATTTTTTTTTCACAATTTTGATATAAAGTTGCAAAATGTAGCAGACAGCCATTCTGCAATGATGATGTCATAGCTGTTCCTTAATTGTCCAATCACAGCTGGGGTGTTAGGTACTTCCCAGTGGGAGTCCACGGAATTCAAAAACTATGCAAGAAAACAGGCCTCGGCCCATGGTCTATAAGTCCAGAAGTGTTCATTCAGGCTTCACTGTAACATTCATTACAAGGTTGCATGCATGTCCCTTGCATGTAGTACACAAATAGCCAATCCGCCACTATAATGGGTATTTCTTTGTCCATTCCCTAGCAATAAAGTTGATCACATTTCTACGTCGCGATCACCACCACCGGGTGGTATGAAGAAAATCATAATTCAATATAGGTCGGAGGGTACCGGCATGTTGGGATCCCCGAGGTTCTTTGTCTCCGGCTAAAATACATCAATCACCGTTTGGCCAGGAAAGGAAAGTTCTTTGTCCTGTAAGGCCCTTTTTCTTATTTTTTTTTATCCCAATTTAAATGTAAATGCCTCTAACAAACGGCCTGTAGGGGTATTTGATAACACTCCGTAACATGTCCAGCTTGCAAGGAGAGGATACAACTGTTCAGAGTGGGACTTGGGAAGAGAATCAGGGAGCAATTTGTATTCAATGAAAGATTAGTGACCCGGGTCGGGGTACTTTGTGCTTTTTCGGATAAAAGACACACATGGTTAGTGCTTGGACGACAAGGAAGAAATAATACCAAAATATACGATTGTAGTGACTTGATTAGAAAGAAAGAGAAGGGGAGGGCGGGATAGGTAGGGGTTAAACAGGAGAGAAGGGGAACACACTAAAAGGGGACACGGACAAAAGAGAAGAGTGAGGAGGTATAGGAGTGAGAGAAAGCTGAGAGAGACAAAACAGAGACAGAGCGAGAGATAAGCATGAGCAAAAAGAAAGTTCGAAAGAAATAGAGAGAGAGAGAGAGAGGGGGGGGGGTCAAAGGAAGAACGACAGTCACAGACCTAACAATTACAGAGAGAGAGAGAGAGAGAGAGAGACAAGGAAAGAAAACTGGAGGCCATAAACACAGGTTGTTATAGAGAAAAGAGTGTGCGGAGGAGCTGAAGGGCCAGGCTTAGAAAAAACTCGTTTCTTTGTAAGAGATTCGTATACAAAAAACATTTGGTCTTCATATAGGTTATCAACGACAGACACGGAAGAAAGACAGAATAAATAAAGTAGTCGAAAACAAAGAGACCGTAAGGGGACGGAAGCGGAAAGAGCCTAGCCATACAACCACAATAACCGAGAGATGTAGATTTTAGTTTCCCTATTTGGTCATTATTATGTGCCAAATGAATTAATCATAACATTCATCTTGCCATAAACATGGAGCTACATAAATACACCGAAAACATAATGACACACACAGTTTCACATTGTTAACAAAGAATTCAGGAAATCACTCAATAGTACACAACACTTTTCTCTTGAACGTTTGATTGGCTTGAAACCAAATTTATATACAATTAGATATTGCCTAAATCTACTGTGGGGTTAATTGTGTTATCTGTGGTTAATGAATGTTTGGTTTGGTTTGGTTTTGCATAATCATTACTTGTTACCAGTAAAGACCAATCAACCCAGACGAAAATCTGGGAGCGTAAACAGCAAAATTTCAATAGGCTTTACTGAATGATAATGGCAATAACTGTACTTTATTTAGGAGAAAACAAAATGTTAATATTATTTTAATATTACTTTCATCATAGTTATTATTATTATTATTATTGTTATTATTATTATTATTATTATTATTATTATTATTATTGTTATTATCGTAATCATCATTAATACTTCTTTCTCACCATCATCCTTACAGCTTCCCTGATGTGCGAAAGTATATCAGCGCTCGAAATCTTCACCCAAAAGACAGTATCCCTGTGGCTGGACAAGACAGACCAAAGCATCCCATGCGATGTACGACTACAGGAGGGGGAGCGGATATCGGGGTTCTCCTGGAGCCGAGCGCAGGAGGGGGCATCGGACCCAACCGAAATTATAAAGGTGTTCCGCGATGTTGTATCGGGCTCGGGAATTGAGAGCGGGAATTTCAGTCTTTCAGAGAACAAGTCGCTAGTTTTACACCGGCCACCAACGATAGAGGACGAGGGGCAATACATCTGCAAAGTGATTTTATCGGGCGCCTCCGCGGGGGATCAAAATACAAATTCCAGTACTATTCGTGTTCTTTGTAAGTAGTAGTGAAATACATTTTCTTTCTTGAGGGGTTGAAGGTTCGAATCCCAGCCCGACACTAAGCTCCTTTGGGAAAAAAAATGTATTAATCCACATTTGCCACTCTCCACTTAAGTGTAAAGGGGTACCTGGTACTTGCTAGGTGACGATAATTGCAGGGCCCGCGAAAAGAATATTACTGTTGCTCATGGGGCTCTCCTAAATAAAAACAAGAACTATATTATCATATTATATAATTAGTTTTTCAGTGATATGATATGGTGTGATGAGGTTTCGTAAATATTCAATTAACTCTTATTATTGGGAGCGGATCGATGTCTTAATTTCATGCATGAAGTTATTAAAGGAAACCCCACCCCAAGAAATAAATGCCTTTATTCTGAGAAAATTGATGTATTTGTGTCCAGTAATCTACACGATTCCCATCAGCATATGATAGAGGTATAAAGCAAGAACATGTACAGTTTCTCAGAAAATAATGGGCATCGCTATAGCGTGACGTACTAAACAAAGTTGTTTATCAAGCAAATGTATTTAAATGTATGGATGATGAATTCCTTCCCAGGTATGTGTGGTGATGAAGCATTTCAGCTACCTGCTATTTTCCTTTGTACTTTAACCACCAGAACGCAAATTGCATAACATAAGTTGATGCTCTTCTTGGATGAATGTTTCAAACAAATGAAATAGATTTTCCAACTGCTATAATCAATTTGTTTTAAATAAATAAATTACAATTGTTCCCCTGTTATACATATATATTTTCACCAAATATAATTATTACTTACAGCTGCTCCGACGGAACTATATCCTACTATTCTTGAATGTGCAAACGCCGATGAACATGCTGAAAATGAGGACGAAACATGTGTAATCAAACTCGAGGTTGGGACGGGTATAAACTTAACATGCGAGATTTCTGGATTTCGACCCCTCTTGGATTTAAGGTGGACAAACGCAACTCAGGACGAGATTGCAAGTTACAGGACGTTGACAAATAATTCTGATGGAACACAAAACCTGTCCGTGACATTTGAAGTAACATCTAGTCTTGAGAGACAGGAGTTTTCATGTAATGTGAGCGGGGAGGCAGTCTCGGGACAAAGATGGAGCGTAGTCGCAATTCAAGGGGTAGAAGGTAATACAACTAACCTACCGTTACCCAATCAGAAATAGAAATCAAAGGGATCATTCGATCATTCACCTAAAAAAGTCATACGAATCATTTTTATATCATATATGTTTTTTTATTATTGGATTCAAAGAATAAATTAGACTATATGCCTAACTGTGCAGCAACAATAAAGCCCCACTGTACTACTTATAGCTTCTTGCGCCCTTTATATAGCAAAGAATGCCTAATCGGTGTTGGTTCCCAATAATCCCCCTTTGTTAATTAAAAGCTGATTTGATGAGATAATCACCTGCCAGTGAGGTGGGGTCTAACTCCCTAGCCAACTAGTATAGGCGGGATTAGACATGAATTAGAGATAGGGAATAAAACTAACAATTCATTTTCAGGCAATGTTTCTTAACAATTTCCATTTTGTATTTTCATTTTTCTTAAACTTCAACAGCAAACGGGTCACCACTCGTAGTCATCATCGTCATCGTCGTGTCAATCCTATTAGTACTGTTGGTCCTCTTCATTTGCATCATCCTCATACTCAAGAGCAGGAGGAGGAGGTCGAAAGGTGAACCGGGGACGCCGACAAGGCAGGAACAGCTCACAGAACTAGAGAGGGGATCGGGTAAGCATCGCTTTAATAGTTCAACCGCTCATACTCCACACCGACTTCGAATAAAACAAACTGACACTGACCTCATAAAGACTCCACACAGACTTAAAACCGACCAACACCGACTTCAAACTGACGTTTTCTTTGCCATTTGTGGTGAATTAGTTGTTGTTGTCCGGTCTGATGTTTTTTCATATTTTTAATTTGTTTCTTTCAATTCAATTCAATGTATTATTTCTCTAAATATCACATACAATGTATATGCATTTGAAGTATACTAGATCATTAACAACCGAAAAAGCCAATGGCCTGATGTTGTCTCATTGGTGTGACAAATACCTCAGTTTCACTACCAAATATAATCAAAACTTATTCTAAACAGAGATTTGTCACATTTGGTTCCGTATTTTTGTCGATCTGGTGTCCTACTTTATATGTGTGAGCGATAACAAACCGGTACACCAACAAAAAAAAGTCGATTAAGAGTCGGTTTAGCGGTGTGTAAGAGGTATTATGAAGTAGGAAGGTAATACGTAGGCAGTACTCGAAATATTTCAATTTTCTTCATCACGCTATAATTATTGTTAAGTATGTCTATATGCCTTCATTTGAGATATAATAGTGTTTCATTTCTTCTTTCCCTTTTATGTTCTTTATCATGAGCATATACAGTTTATACTGGGTCATTGCCTTGCATTATAACATGTAATAACCTATTTCGACTTCTACATATTACCTACATCTGGCAATGGATCACTTTCATAGCTTTGGAATCATATTACTCTGCTTCTATTCACAATGATATCGCACCACATCGCATGTATACTATTTAACCTAACCTATGCCAAGGTCACACCAATGCGTTGAGCCCACGCGTTTCCGTTCCGATGTAAACAAAACAAGAAAAAAGGAGCCGACATCGACCTGGGAATGCATGATTTGAATTCGTTCCAAATTTACATGATACAGTTATGCTTTGTTTTCCATGCGTTTTACGGGACGTATGGACAATGCAAAGGCACGGGAACTGCTTTGACATGTTCAAAACTTCAAAATTCCCGGCTCCGTTTCCTTTTCGTTTATCCACATCGAACCTGCATCTAGTAATGCATAGGACAGTATAAACGCATGGAAAATGCATGCATTCTAAAAATGGAAAAACGAAATGACATCGAAATGAAGAAAAAAAAGGGTTCGTGTAACCTAAGCATTAGATTTCCCATCGAATACAAATATATATTTATATATCCATAGCACTAACCAACAAGCATAATATTTCCACATTCCAGTAAGCCAAGTTAATATTTAAAACAAAAGTTCATATTTGTCTTTAGGCTCCCTAACATGTTAAAAACTCTACAACTATACTCAAGATGCAAACACGGAAAACATGTAGGCTACACAGATCGTTGTAATTATGTTGTTTACATTTGGTTGAGTACATTATTATCTATTTAATATTTGTTATATGGTTATAGTTTGGCAGAGTTTTGTTTACCATCATAACCTCGTAAATCAAAACAGTCTCATATAACTAGCAGGATTAATTTTACCCAAAATAAAAACCCAGATGGGGAAACAAAGTTATTCATTGGATGGTGCGGCTTTCTGGAATACTTTACCTAATTAAAAAAAAATGCGCCATCAAATTCTTCATTTACTCTTTTGTGTTGGCGATATAATAATTTAAATCATTGAACTGGTCCATTGTGTTGTGTATGTTTCTTTTCTTTTGTTCGAAAATGTTGTAACTTAATTCATTTTGTTTCGATTTGGATTGTTTGTTTTCAATATGTTTGTTAATTTTGTATTTATGTTGTAGGGCCTCCACGGAAAACTGATGGAGCCACCCTACTAAAAAAAACTAATCAATAAAATAAATAAATAAATATTGCCTAACCCGGCTTTCTAACCTCTTTCATCATAGGTCGTAGGGGATGCCATAGATTATATTTTGTTGTTTTTCGTCATGGTTTACTCATTTTGATCATGGTTCCCCATCTGACTATTTGCATGCATAACCTAATCAAAGCTGCCTCATATACAAAACTGGCTCATTCCATAACCCATATAAAGTAACAAAACACATTTTGATAATGGGTTTCCACTTCTGTCTCGTTATAGCTGTCCGTCCAATAGAAAACAATCACTACACAAACGAGCCAGGTGAGAATCTTAGCCATTAACATTTTATCCTTTCCTCTTCTATGTCATTAAAATTAAATGGGTTCAAACTTTTAAGTTGTTTATAAATGGAATGCACTGCCACTCAAATGTGTTTTGTTATTACGGAGAGGAAGTTGCTTAGCCGTTGGGTCTCAAAGGCTAACGCAAACCCACTAAATGTCCTTTATGGATAGGTTCGTGAGTTGGCAAATTTTCTCCACGTGCTGAAGGGCAGAGACAGTGTCATCATAGGATGTAAAACCAAAACAATGGACGAACCTGATGGCACCGATGTAAAGTATTGTTTGGTACACGTCCGTATTTTGTTTTTGACCATTAGGGCAACCACAACGGGTCGTAGAGTTTTGTTTAGGATCCGTGATTACGAGCAAGGTCTGTTTCCACTTTCTCTGAAGATGAACCACATCATGCCTCGTTAGTGATGTGAAGTTACGTCGACGTTCAATAAAGGGAGAAGACTGACTTATTTATAAATTAAAAAAAAAGGAAAATCGAAAAAGTAACTAAATAGAAAAGAAATCCACACATACACACACACACACACACACACACAAGAAAAACAAATTGTTTGAAAGAGTTCGTATCATATACCGAGTGAACATTAACAAGAGATTATGTTAACATAATAAATGCCCTTAGCTGACTACATTGTATTAAAATAGAAGAAGTTGCTGTCTATCAGAATTCTGTATTTTTGCAAGTATGGCATCAACGTACCAAAACATCATGTCAACAAGAAGATCGATAACGGGCTGATGTAGAATCGTTACTACTTGTAATCACGTTTAAGCCCGGCTGTACTAGTTTGGCCAGGGGGATTGTACCTCCCTGCAAGGTCACTGACAGGTGGTTATCTCATCTAATCAGCTCTCAATTAACATAAGAGTGATCACGGGGGACCAACAGGCATCGATTAGGCATTGTTTGCTATATAGTTAGCGCAAGTAGCGATAAGTAGTGCAGTGGGGCTTCAAGGAATTTTGATATCAGCTTGATATGTCTGTCAATGTATGTATCATTTTTTTGTTTTTCGTTCATCTTATTTTTCTCTTTTCCCCTCTCTCTGTCCGTCCCTCCCTCCCTCAGTATCTGTGCTGGTAGAAGAACCGCCCGTAGAGATTGTAGAGACCAAATGTACCGAAGGAACACAGACGGATATTCCTGAACCACCTGAAGGTAAGGTCAAAGGTCGCTGAAAAATACCCAATCACTTTCTTCGTTATTCTTTAGTCATTGTACTCGTAATTACATCTAGCTAAAGGAAACGTAACCATTGAATTAGGATATTAATATTTTGGCCCACACTATTAAGCTATTTCACGTTATATTTCGAATAGGAGGGCATTTCAAGAACAATACTTGTCAGGGGACATTTCTTCAATAGTATTGTTCGATACTGACGTTTTTAAAAACGAAACCGTATTCTGGATATGAAATTAAAGGTCGGCCTTCTTCGATGGGTTCAGAATATAAAGCCCTTTGCCAATGAGTGGTATTCCAACAAACAATTGTAGGCCTCACGCGATCACGTAGATTTTCAAGAAATCAACTTGACGACAATTTCAAAGCTCTTCAATATAGCCATGTCCTGATTGATTATATCATATGTGATCGTAATAACGATTTAAAAAAAATATATATGTGTATGCAGGAAAACGTAGGCCTAGACAGTTTGTTTTTAATTTATTTTTACTAATGATATTTAAACACTCCTTGCATTTAAAAAGCCTATATTTTCAGATAAGGTGTCATGTTCATTTTTGTTTGTTGAATGAATTGCAGACGAAGACAGAATGAGCACAGATGACATCGAACAGTCTCAGGAGTTATTGAACAAGGATGATAGAGAAGACAGCCAATCCAACTCAAGAGGTAAGGTCATGACCTCTAACCTAATGACCTCAATGCTCATCTACGTGGTGGTACGAAGGAAGCGTGAATATATAATAGGTTCTTATTGTTTAATATTCCCTCCTCTTGAAAGACACTCTATACATCATGATACAAAACTGATATTGTTCATGCTATGTGTGTCATTGAAGTTCCATAGAGTATAGGTTATTTGGAGAAAGGCGATGACTCGGCATTGTTGTGAGGTTTGAAATCACCAACATGATAGGAAATTGATTACGTTTTGCACAGGAGAATAGGAAGGACTGCACAAAGATTTAGGGTATATATAAATAAATATATATATATATATATATATATATATATATAAAAATATATGTATGCCCGATAATAAGTCCACGTGTTGGCATAAGTGATAAAGAATAAAATATTCATATTAAATCAAATATGGTTGTTCAAGGTCACATTATGTCGATGTACATTACATCTACACCAAGTGGTTTCATTTTTAAAGTCCCATATATGTATATGTATAGTAATATCAATGGGACGTTATACATTGTAACATTAAATGTTGGCCAAAGATTCCAGATTTTTTAAAACATTTTAAAAATAACTTGTTTTGTAATTCGATTGCAATCATTAACCATTTGAATTTAGTACAGTAATATTTATATAGTTTCGTTTCTTTGCTGAGAAAAATGAAAGGTTCGGTTTAATCATCCCATATGAATGTACTTTCAGAAAATTAACTTACGGTAACATTCAAGACCCTATAGTATTTCCTTGTAAGATCATGTTGGCTTTATGTAACATGGCATCGACATGTTAGCATATTTCAACAGGTGACGAACAACGCTGTTGCCATGGGTTAATTCTTTTAATAGTTCTTCGTGATTTTGTTATACATGAAATTGTTTCAAATGAATCACCCTCGTCTTAATCAGTCTATGCTTTTTTAATGTAATTTCCTTGCAGCACCATCACACCTTTCCAGTCGATCAGACATCGCCCATCATGAATTCGGGGAGAGCTGGGTTTGCGTGAGCCCCGAGGAGCTTCGGAATCTACAAGATCGCAAAGATGACGACGGAACCGGTGCAGATGAACCAGGTACATCTGTTGAGCGCCCTCAGCGTCCGGGTCACTTTCGTGGTGTGTTCCAGGGCTTTGGTAACCTTCTGGACACCTTCAGCAACTTGATGCGGCATGAAGCCTAATATAAGAGACGCCGACTGTCGCTGTTAATATATTTATTGCTTCTATTTTGTCTTGTTTTCAATAACTTCGCTTTGGCCACATTGGCAAAGAGCGGAATGGTATTAGACAGCAGATATATATGGACTATACTAACACAATGGAACATGGTCAGACGTGACCTTAAAAACCCTGCTTGTATATCTTGCCGTGTTTAATTTTGATGGGTATCTAAGGTATCTGCATGTCAAAAGACATGAACAGATCTTCAGTATGAAACATCCTGAAAATCATGCATAAAGTTTATATATCAAACATTATGTAACTTACGTGTCAGGTCGAGGTGAAGGCCACAATTCGCTGACAGAGACTTGGTCGAAATACCATTGCTGATGTGTAAAAGTCTGCAAGCAGAAAACCCCAGGCCTATCAATTAGAAGAACCCTCTAGTCTCTCGGAACGTCTTCGGGTGAGGGAAAAGTGAGATAAGGACTTTTCCATATGGGGGGGGGGGGTGGATCGGAAATGCAAAACATTAGCCTAAACCTATTGATTAGCCTTCTGTTATTGGTTAAACATCGGAAAAATTTCAAATTGCACATGAGAACCAACTCCTGTGCGTCTTCAAAATAAAACGCCCTCTTGAACAGTCGAACAATAGGGCTCTACCAAACAGGCACAATTAAACTCACTATCATACGTTGTATGAAGAGGTAAACGTGCAAGATAAAAACGATGATTTGAAGCTTCATTAGAAAGCATGGCCTTAGAAAGTACAATTGAGGACAAATATGTGACAAGTTTTGCATTGGTAATGGTGATGATTTGCTAAAGGACAAATACTGTAAGACTTTACCTTGTATCATAGTCATATCATGTGTCATTTTTTTAAGGCTGATATTGGAGAATAATGTGATTTCCGAAGCAGAACAGAACGATGGACTAGTTATAATAGTACAATATCGATGTGTATGTACATGGATTATCATGAGTACCTTCAGAGGCTACGGTAATGGTTTTTTTCGTGATAACTTGGTATGGCATGCAAATCAAGTTGTCAATGTCAATATCTGGCTTACGCTCATTATCAAAATATTATCAACATCAGACATGTTAATGGTATCATGCGTGAGCAATGAGTGTAATGTGTATACAGTGACCATCACCAGAAAAGTTAGTAGGAATTCCTGAAGCAATTCTGTGGCTCTTGATCGTTTAGGCAATAGCGTGACACTTTTACGAAAGCATTCATTTGTGTTTTAAGTCTTGAGTGGGGATGTAACCGCCTACATTCACTGTTGTATCGCAATACTCTGCTTTGAAGCTGAGTTGTTTAAAAGAACTCAGATTATTCAATTCAATGGAAGAAAACTATAGTACTTATTAAAATATTTGTGTTATACTACCGTTGATCTTGTGATAAATAAAGTGTACTCTAAATCAGCAGTATTTGTGTTGACTAGCTAAATCAAGGTACACAAAATGAACTGTAACGGTTTAATGGCACACGAGTACTCCGTGTCATCTAACTAGCTAGTCAAGTCTGAATTTTGCTCACTGAAGTATAATATATCATCCGATCATAGAAGAAACTCCAAGCTGTCAATCAGGATGAACATCCTTGCCCAAAAACCGTAATATCTTTGTATGAAGACTTTCTCAAATTGCTAACATTTTCTCGGATCTCCTGTATGTACGTTACTCATTTTCAACATATAAGTGCAATGATGCTCTTTGTGGCTTTTGTGCAAAGTGAAAACTTTCAGCTGAACAAAACGAAATATAACATTTAAACTTTATCGCGATTATTGCAGTTTGAAACGATGAGTCTAGGGTATTTGCTCATGTGCTCTTTCATAATGAGATCCGAACGAGAATGAGCCAGTAAAGATTATTCTACTATAAATAACTTATACGTATAACTTTTAATAGGAATTACATTGTATTACTAGTTATTTCGAACTGAAGGTGTAACGTGTAGCTTTTCGAAACAGGGTTCGTTTGATATTGCCATTTTGTTAATGTTGTCATATTAACACAGGAACCTCATATCATCTGACAGTTACTAGGAGAAATTGCGGGTTTAAACATTTCTATGTTTTTTTTGTTTTGTAGAACATGATCATGCGGCTACGTTTTTTACATTTATGTTTCCATGATTTTCGTTAGAACTCATCTTCATTTCCCACATTTTGTTTTTAATCTGTCTACATATAATACAAAGGAATCCATTTTTACTACGTACTTAAAGTAAACACAACTCTAATTTTGTTATAAGAATGGAATTTTTGCAAGGCAGGTAATCTAATTCTCAGTAAAAGGTCAAATATTTGGTTCATAAGGATATTAATATGACAGTACATGTATGTTTTGTCATATATCTCCAATCGGTTCATCATACATGAACGTCAGTAAATAATCTTACACCATTTCTGCTTCAATCGTCACATGTAGACTGTGGGCATATTGTTTTTGTAGTGCTAAGTGTTGCTAAGTATTCTACGAAACTCATTCTGACTTGAAAATGTATGTACCCATACTTTTCAATAAGTGATACATTGTTAACGTTCAAAAGTTTGACATGACTTTCTGTCTTTTTATGTCACTTTCGAGGTACATGGATATCGACAAGTTTGGTAGCCATTATTTCGAGGGAAGGAGGAATCTCGCCGCTCGTAGCCTTTTAAAATCATTTTAGTTTGAAGTAACTAGAAATGATCATGTTCGTAAATGATTTAATTTGTTATTATTTCCATTGATATTTCCGTGCAACCGATGAAAGGTACAGAAGTGTAAATCTCGAAACAGTAGATTCAAACTACTTTATTATAACTGAGCGTTGGGGAAGCTTTCATTAACAATATTTTCCCCCAACGCACACATACATAGTATTCACAATAAATAATCTAAGGTCAACAAAATATAGTCTAAGGTCGAGAAGTTGATTGTAAACTGAAAATAACAATAATATTGTGTCTTTGTAATATAAATCATTTTGATATGCTAATTATTTCAGACAAAATAAGAAAATGAAAGAAATAACAAATAGTAATCATAATTATTAACTCATTCGGAGTTATTTTCTAAAGTATTCCTGTGTCTATTTTAACGAAGAAGGTATTTATTCTATTTGATTAAGCACGAGTAGGAATTTTGTATGCAATTGAACAGAAATGTATAGTGTGTGAAGGTCTGAGGTTTTGGGTGAAGAAGATCGAAAATGAAGGATTAATGTTTCTATAAAAGTGCCAGTAATTGTAAATATCAATGAAATTAGCCTTGTCGTTTGGTTTGCTTAGATTGCCATAAGCAGACGCAATATATGGAGTTAAACGGTCTAGATGTATCCGTGTATATAGCAATTAAGGTAAAAATCATATTTTATTAATTACGTCGGATTTGTTATACATGTAGTTCTCGCAATTGTGAAACTTATTTTCCGGCATAAACCCTTCTTAGTTAGAGTAGCACAGGACATTATACCATCATCACTTAAATTATTAGACATGATTCTGTTAGTCGTCATTACATCATAATTATAACCCAATTCATTTGTTCAAATTTGTGTTTTTTAGTGATTTCGTGCAATAATATAAGTTCAGGTATGTCTTTTTGTGTTTCACTTGCATTTATGTTGCTGCACGTGTAGTAAAACATTGGCACACATGGAGTAGTTTGATAAGAACAGGATCGCAACTGTTTTCGAAAAATAAATTCAAGAGCAATTTCAATACCATATAAGTCTCGTATAAATCATATGCACACTACGTAATACGTCATTGCCATGTTTGTAGCTTTCAATAGGTGACGCAACATGTCGATTCAAATTGCGTTAGGCTGATTTTTGGAAAGTAGTCGCAATCGTGATTCAATTTACTCCATGATTTGCTTGTTGAAAATGTTATGTTATTTAAAAAGTATTCCAGTAACAAATCTGTTTAAGGATTACAAAACAGTTTTTTGTTTTAAAAAAATGTTAGAGCGATACGTTTACTCAAATAGTCTTGATTGTGAAAGGGTTGTCATGGATATTTGATATGCTATGACATTGTTTAGGTGCCCATATAAGGAAGTGATATGAATATATTTATTTATTATTTATTAAAACATCTTTATACAGGATAATATGTTCAGGTATACTGTTTTTCAACATGGTCCTGTTAACATTAAAAAGCAAATCACATGTGAAATATTTAACAACGTTTCAAATAATTTAACTGCATATGTTGACATAAAGTTAAAACAACATAGTAAAATCTCAGAAATGTAAGCATCATTAGAAATAACATGCTATTGTATTATACATTTTAATAAAATACATTAAAAAAAAAAATATATATATATATACAAAAAAGTACAAGAGATATAAATATTTACAAAAATTAGATTAAAAATAAAACTTCTTATAAATCAATTTAAAAGTTTCAATTGTTTGGGCATTTTGTATAAAGTGGGGGATGCCATTCCATCGCTTAGCACCGGAAAATTTAAAGGCTTGTTTAAAAATTGAGAGGTGGACTTCAGGTGGGACTACATTAAGACTATCATTGTTCCTAGTATGATGATTATGTCGTTCACAAAACATTTCGATATCATTACAAAGCTGTGGAGGGGCTAGACCATGTATACATTTGAACATTTGTGTGGCAAGAAAGTAGTCTTTTCTTTCATTAATGTCTTGCCAAGCTAATTTTTTTGAAAGTGTTTTGAAAGAAACATTTAGGTCAAAGTTGCCAGTTATATAACGTGCGGCTCGTTTTTGTAATCTTTGTAGTTTAGTTTTATGTTTATCTGCACTGTTGGCCCAGACAGAAATACCATAATCGATGCAGGGTTGTATTGTAAATTTATAAAGAGTGTTCAGTAAAGAAGAACTAAGAAATTTCCTCAGTTTCCCAAGAGAACGGATCTTGTATCCTATAGATTTGCATAGGTTATTTACATGAATATCCCATTTTAAATTTTCATGAATTTCAACGCCTAAGTATCGTATGGACTTGACCTGCTCAATTTCAATTCCATCAATATATATTTTCAGAATGTCATGGGAACGCGTTTGCAATAATATACTCTTTGTTTTGTCAACATTAATTCTTAGGTGGTTTTGTTTGTACCAATCATTAATAGAATCAATATTTGATTGAAGTCTAGAGGTTATTGTTTGCACATCTTTCCCTATTTCAAATAAAATAACATCATCAGCATATATAGTTAGAACACCAGATTTGATTGATTGTGATATATCATTGATAAAAAGTAAAAATATAATCGGGGCAAGTACTCCTCCTTGTGGTACCCCTACTGACAGTTCCTTTTTTGCAGAAAGTTTACCTTGCGAGAATACAACTTGTTTTCTTTCCTTCAGATAACTTGAAAACCATCTTAGCATGTTTTCAGCAATACCATATTGCTGCATTTTGAAAAGTAGAATATCATGGTCTACACTATCGAAACATTTCGATATATCTAAGAAACATGCCCCAACTTTTTCTTTTTCATTGAATGCATCAAAAAATTCATCGACAACTCTATGCAGACAAGTTGTCGTTGAATGTTTCGGTAGGAAAGCATGTTGTTCAATATTGATAAGATTGTGTTTAAGAAGATAACGTAGCAGTTGTTCCTGAATTTCCTTTTCTATTATTTTAGGGATATGGCTCACAACAGAGATGGGACGGTAGTTTGTTTCTTCATTCCTAGAACCTTTTCCCTTATATATTGGAGTTGTCCTAGCCAATTTCCAGTCTTCTGGTACATCTCCACCTTGTATGCTTGAATTAAATATATCTGTTAAGGATTCATATATATATGGTGCTGCTATTTGAAGTAACCTTGTATCAAATCCTAGTACATCAGTATTACTATTTTTATCTAAAAGAAGCAAATATTTAAGTATTTTCTCCTTTTTCAGAGACTCTATTTTGAATTCATACATACATGCTGGGTTTTTCCATTTGATAGACTTACTATGAGGAAATGATTGTGAAATATTATTACCAACATTAACAAAGAAATCATTCATTGTATCACTGTCTATACAACAGGATGATGAACTATCATTTTTAGTCATGCCTGTAACCTGCTGCATTTCTTTCCATAATTTCTTACCATTATTACTATATTTCTTAGACACATCATTGAAGTAAGCCTTTTTCTTTTCATTTCTTAATCTGTTAACATAATTCTTACACTTCACATATTTACAATGATCATCATGAGATTTCGTTGAGTCAGCTTTACTCTTCAAATGATCTCGTTTATACATGAGCTGAATAATGTCATTAGTAATCCAAGGGCAATATCGATCTTTTACCCGTACTTCTTTAAAAGGTGCATAATCATCACTTATTTTCAAGAAAGTTTCTTTCCATGATTTCCATGCCAAAGTCAGAGGCAGAGGATTTTCGTTAGACAATTCAAAAATATTATTGGTTTTAATTGCTTCAAGGAATCGGGCTTCGTCGAATTGCTTGAAATCCCGAAACCGCCTCACTTTATGAATTTCTTTTGTATTCTTTAAATCAATGACAGTATGTACGAGATAGTGATCACTCAATGATATATTAAGTACGTCAGTTAAAATGTGTTTTTCAGGTATAGTGCTCAAAATGTGATCAATACAGGTTGCTGATTTTGTGGTAACTCTCGTGGGCTTGGTGACCAATTGGGTTAATAGAAATAAATTCTCCAAGCAATGAACAGGATTATCATGAAGAGTTTCATTCAGTTTATAATCGACATTGAAATCCCCGAGTATAAGTAATTCCATATTTGTGTCATTTGCCTTCTCAAAATTTTCTGTGATCTTCTCAAAATACTCAGTATTTGTATCAGGAGGTCTATAAATACAACAAACAAGTAACTTTGCTAGTTTCAGCCCTTGAATTTCAAGCCAAATTAATTCAAGGGAATTGTCATAAAGATCACTTCTCTCAATGAATGATAAGGTACTTTTTATATAGATACAAACCCCACCACCTCGGCGACCATCATTTCTATCTCGCCGATAGAGGGAGTACCCATTTATTTTCACAATTTCACTAGCAATAGAATTATTTAACCAGGTCTCAGATAGACATAATATATCAAAGTTCATAGTTTTCAACAAATAATTAATTTCATCGAGTTTATCATACAAGCTTCGCACATTCAAATGAGCTACTTTCAAGCCCTTTGCTTTGTGAGTATTCAAGTTTTTAACTTTCTTTTTAGGAGAATGTTTCTTTTGTGCATCATTATCGGCACAGTCTTCCTGGCCTGCTTTTTAGCAGGTATATGTATTCTTGCAGAATTTACGTTTGTGTCCAGTTTCATTGCAGAGGTAGCACCTAATCTTTTCTCCAAAACGACAGTGTATGTGCTTGTGATTTGTTTCTCCACAGTAAAAACATCCTGTGTAGCGAGGGGAAGAAGCAACATGCGCATAGCTCATTGTAGGAGGTTGCAGTTGCGGTCCTTCAGACACATATGACGCAGTTTGCTGATGCGGATTCTGCATTGCCATGGAGAAAGGATGCGGGTCAAGTGGGAAAGGGTGGCGAGTGGCGTAGGTGGAGGATAAAGTCCTCCGATCAACATCTATTTGTTGAACATCATTTGAGATGGGGAATACAGGTTTATCGTTTTGATCATCTCTCTGTAATCGACTATCTCGTTCTGAGTTGATGTGGCGGATAAGATTCTGGGCGAATAAATTAACCCCTTCAGGACTGAGATGTATGCCATCATTGCATAGATGCTGAATTGGCTCGATAGAGTCGTTGTTGATGAAGTCCCATCCGTGGGATAGGGCCATTGATTTCAGTCGACTGTTGGTGTCATTCAATTTGTTGAGGAGGTCACTTTGATACGCTCTCCTTTTGATGATGGAGCTAATCGTAATCGCATTCACGGAAGAGCATTCACCTAGGATTTGAAGGGCCAGTGACTCCACTTTTTTCTCTATTGTTGTTGAGTCATTCATCGCCATATTGTTTGATCCGACGTGGATGATGACCGTTTGAGGCAGGTTCTTATCAACCATATTCTTTGTTGGTTCAAAGAGGTCATCTATTTTAGCTCCGGGAAGCGTTTTACATTTAACTCTCTTTTGTGAAGACATCGTGGACGGTCTGAGAGGCTTAAGAATAGAATCTCCTACAATAAGGACATCACATTGTAGCTTCATTCTTTCACTCACAACTGTCTTTTGTTGCATGAAGTCATCTTTACGCTTATGCCTGTAATCTGCTAATT